CTTGTGCACTTACTAGTAAGTATCTATTCCCCTAGCAATTGCTTGCATACTAACATTGATACAGCTCTCCCGTGTCCAGGAACGGTTCTCTACAACAGCTCAGCTCTCATCGATCACCTTGAAGACCTGTTCAGATTTGTTCGTGAATGCCACATCACTATGGACCAAGTTTGACATCTCTCCAGTCCACAAATACTTCTTCTGTCTTGGGCATTTTGGATAGGATTAGATGAGATGAGTTGAGATGAGAAAAATCTTTAGTGTCATTGTCACTTTTGAATAATAAAACAGAAATTTGCTAATTGAAGGCCAAACATTTTTTTCTTGAAAAAAAAAAAAAAACTATGACCATGCCAGATTTTTGAGCTCATCTTAATTTGAAAAATGACAGACTAAAAGTCTCGCTCAATTGTTTTCCCCAACAATTTTAAGGTGGTCTCTGAATTTATATTAGGATGATATTTGTGAGTAGTACTCTGGAAGAAAGCTCTCACACTCCAGTTCCAGGTAGGGTGACCAGATCCCAACTCGACAAATGTGGGACGAGAAATTCCAATGCAGCAAGATAAAATAAAAACACATCTACCTGCCTTTTACCTGTAATATCACTGTTAAATATACATACAATTACTAGTATACTATATCTTTCATACATTCTATCTGAATTCAAATTGAACAAGCAAACAAAAGCTTCCATACTACACAGTCCCTCTCAAGTTAACACAGCTACAGTGGCTTTGAAGAACTTTTTAACGATTTTAAACCATTAACTCATTTTAAAAATATAGACAGGCCACACAATAAAAACTGCACGTTTAAGCAGCTTTTCAGAGTTTTCATTGAATATTTGTGCAGATTTTCCACAACAGAATGACAGTGAAAGTACCGGGGATTTTTTAATTTCTATTCCTGTTTTTATTTTTTTTCAATTATCCATCCACAAGTATCAACATCTCATTTAAATAATATCCATAATTTTTTGCAAGTTTTGTTCTTAATTTACAAACAAGAATTTCTGTTTGTTTTAATCTTTAATTTTTTTTATAAAATGTCAACACACATCTTAAAAAAATTATCATTGACTTTAATATTTGAGAAAAGTGAGATCTTTCCCATCTCTTTTCTACAGATAATGCAGAAAATAAGGGTTGGAGAAACTTTAGCATTAAGTCCCTAGTGTTTGATCTTATTTTAAACATAATAAGTTTTACATGTTTATTCAGTGAACAAGCCTTTAAAAACTGTTTTTGTCAAATCTATCGTGGTACAATATGCACGAGTTTATCCAATATAACAAGATTTACTGTGATCTGTAAGCCCTCGGTATAATTATGACTGACTGCTGAAACCACATCAAACTTCAGTTAAACTGACTGAGTTGTAACCATTTCGCACACACACCTGTGTGTGTGTGTGACAACTATTGGGACTTTAACTTTAACTTGACTTTAATTTTTGTATTTTCTAACCTCAGTTGACTGAACTGGATTGATTTCAAAAGTTTATAATTTGTATTTCCAATTATTACATCATGACAGTTTCATTAAAATCCATATGATGGTTTATGAAATGTTCTACAAACACCAGAGACAACCAAAGAAACATGGGTAAAATCTTATTATCTTATCTAAATTTAGACTTTCGGCATTGGGCAAGAAAATTCTCTTTATGCTAGTAAAACTATTCAGACGCTCACAAAGATCAGCTGAGACGTCCCAGGTTTCCAGACAGTTTAGTGTGAGAAAAAAAAACTCTTAGATTCGTGACTGCAAGGGTAAGATCTTGCACTTGTTTAATGTAGATCTCATCACATTTACTGACCAGTCTTTTTGCAGGGCCTTTTGTGGGAGTCTCTGTGTTAGCATTAGATGCTTTGTTGTCCCCTTGTCTGTGGAGAATTCATCTGCTCTAACTGAGCCTGCCAGGTGGCCCAAAGCTCAGGTTTCCAGCCTGCTGTGACTCTAGCTTTGGACCATGAAACTCTTAAGTGGCTTTCAGCAAGTTTCTGCCTTCAACACTGGTGTTCTGTTTGGCTCAGGCTTCTTCAACAGTGTCTTCTGTCTTTTTAACACTACGTTAGGATATCTCAGCCAAAGGCGTCCTATGTATTTTAAATATACTAACAGCATACAGAAACTGAAGGTGAGAAATACCAGAATTCAAGAATGAAATTCAGGTTTTGATAAATAATCCCTACATCATACATTCTATTCTGGGGTTGTGGGGAGTTGGTGCCTATCTACAGAAGTCACTAGGCAGGACACAGGGTACAACCTGGATGGCTGGGAGCTTTCTACAGCTGAATGAAGATAAGACTGAGATCTTCATCTGTGCCCCAGACAAGCTGGTTCCCAAAGTCAGAGACTGTCTTGGTCAGCTTGCTTCTCACACCAAACCTTCTGTCAGGAATCTTGGCTTGACCTTTGACCCAGCCCTCACCCTGGATCCTCATGTCAGTTCTCTTGTCCGCTCTTCCTTCTTCCATCTCAGGAACATTGCTAAGCTGAGTCCCATTCTGTCTCGCTCTGAACTTGAGACAGTTCTCCACACCTTCATCTCCTCAAGCTTAGACTACTGTAACTCTCTTTTCACGTGTCTGAGCAGAACCTCCCTGAACCTTCAACTGAACCATGTTCAGCGCTTTGGGCTTCCTGACAGCGTTGCGGAAGGCGCTTTATAAATAAAGCTTTGATTGATTGATTGTTTGAACCGTCTACAGGTGGTTCAGAATGCCTGTACTCGGCTTCTGACCAAGTCCTCCAAACACACCCACATCACCCCGCTTCTCCTCCAGCTTCACTGGCTGCCAGTCAACTTCAGGGTTCATTTCAAGATCCTGGTTCTGGTCTTTAGGGCCTTACATGGACAAGCACCATCTTACATTGGTGATCTTCTTAGTCCCTACACCCCCAGCAGGTCCCTGAGGTCCAGTGATCAAAGCCTACTGGTTGTGCAGCACCAGGCTAAAGACCAAAGGTGACAGATCATCTGCTGCTGTGGCCCCCAGACTCTGGAACTCTCTCCCCCTGAGCCTGAGATCAGTGGACTCAGTGGTCTCCTTTAAAAAGCAGCTGAAGACTCACTTGTTCAATCTGGCTTTTGTATGACCTTCTTCACCACTCTCTCTTTATTCTGCTCTCCCCACCTATTCTACCTTCCTCAGGATCCACTGATTTCCCTCTTTCCTGTTCACTCTCTCTCTTTCTTAACATTTTTAATCACAATTGTCTATTTTTGCTCAGTTAAAATATATTTTTAAACATTTTCTAAATGCCTTTTTATATTTTTATATTTTTTGTTTTTGTGAAGCGCCTCGTGATTTTTATCTTGAGAGGCGCGATAGAAATGATATTTTCTTCTTCTTCTTCACCCTAAACAGGTGGTCTATCGCAGACAACCATACCAACACAAACACTCATACATAGGGTCAGCTTAGCATGCCTGGGAAGACAATGAAAACTCCAGATACAAAGGGCTTTTGGGAACTGAATCCTATGGATCCTAGTTGCAAGGCAACTCCAGCAACCAACCACAATAGAGCTCCGGGAGTTGACGTCACTTCTCCCGGCATGCAACAGTTCAAATCGAAACGGCGCCATATTGGCATGCAGAAGCCGGCAGCTGGACTATTTACTATTGTCAGAAAACTCAATCAAACGGGAAATAGATGGGAATAAATGGTAGATTCCTGTTGTGCCCCAGGATGCAGAACAGACGCGGACGACATAAGGAATGAGACATCTACAGGATTCCCCAAGATCCGGAGCGCCGCAAACGTTGGATCATTGTAATAAAACACGCTAGTGACCAGGCGAAAATGAAGCTGTGGGATCCCGAGAGTAAAGGTTTTCGCTTATGCAGCGACCACTTCATATCAGGTACTTAAACCAACGTTTCCTCAACTGTGTATGGTATTTATTTTAAATGCTTTTATTATGATTCTTAGTGGGCTTCCTAAACTTATTTTGGCGTGGCTTTTTCTGTCTTATTACTCATAGCAGCAAGTAAACATCACGTAAAACGTTGCCTCGTGAGTTCTGCGTGCTGCCGTTTACGTGTTTTATGATGACAGCAATTAACCGGCTAAGCTGTATTTTATTTTTAAGCAATGGTTGATCAGATCACACATAAAAAGCACTTTGGATTGCTATTATCTGTGTCACCGAGACTACTTACATGTAAATCTGTTATTTGTCCGTCCATCCATCCATTTTCATCCGCGTATCCGGAGTCGGGTTGCTGGGGCAGTAGCGTGACTTCCCTCTCCCCAGCCGCCGGAGCCAGCTCCTCCGGGTAAATCCCAAGGGGTTCCCCGGTCAGGTCCGGTGCTGTGCCGGTCCGCTCCGACAGCTTCTGGCGTCGGAGCGGGCAGTAGAGTCGAGAGTCCCAGACCTTCTCCCCAGCTCCTCCGGCCGGGGGAATCCCAAGGGGTTTCCCCGGCCAGGTCCGGTTTTGTGCCGGTAAGAAGTCCGCTACGACTTCTGGCGTTTTTAAAAAGTATCCCAGGGGCACGGTAAGGGTCGGAGATGTTTAGTCTATTTAATTTCTGACTATATAAAACGATTTCTTCTGTTTTAAAGTATGAAGTAAACTCCGACGAAGTAAAATCCAAGCGGATCCCGTTCATGTTCATGGTTACATCCGTGTTTGTTTACCTTTTTTGCATGCCAAAATGGCGTCCACTAACTGAGAGTCACGTGGGGTCCGGAGCTCTATTGGGGATCCTGCAAAGTTTAATGTATGCAAGCACATGAGCAATACAGCACAGGGCTATAGGTGTTTGTTGTGTATTTTAGATCCTGAGAAACCTTTTTCTTTCACCAACAGGATACCACCACCATTTTAAAAGGATTTGAATTCTTAGTTTTGATCAACATACCACATGACTGTAGCTTCACTAACATGGTATATACTGAATATCTTAATATATCCCAATAAAAGAGAAATTGCTCAGACATTTAATATTAATATAAAGGATGAATCATAAAGAAAACACTGACCTGGCAGGACATGGTTGTGTGTTGCAAGGCATTACTCCAGACATTGGCTTAGATCTAGGATTGCAGTGTGATGTGTTCACCTGCACTCTCAGATCTCTATAGCATGCTGACTTGGTGTTCATGTGACCTGTTTAGGAGCAAAATTCATTAAGTACAGCACAATGCTAAAATAAAATATGAACTCAGCATGTACATATGAAATACAAGGAAACTACAGGTTCATACACAATTCCTGCAGATTTAGTGAACAGCAGTTTTAGGAATTTAAAAAGTGGAATACCATGAAATCTTTAAGCATCTTACATGTGTGCATCTATGAGAATGTAAAACACAGGGTCTGACTCTTCATGTAAACATAGACAAGACATAGTAAGATGTTTGATCAATGCCCTCCTTGAAACTATTAATCCTCACAATTTATTCAAATGCTATAACGTTTTTGTAACTTCTGAAAGAACTAAAGTTCTGCAAATGTTACGTGAAACCTTAGGCCAGAGTTCTGGCTTAAGACGAGGTCAGTATACGCATCTTCTTTCAGATAAGTCAGCTAGTCAGTCACACTCTTTAATAAAGCACCCCTCCCCCTATCCGATCACAGTCGCCAATTAGAACACAAAGAGACTGAGGTGGTTAGGGCTGGACTGCAGCAGGTCAGGCCAGCCCTAACCACTTCAACCTAAGGATCAATCAGCAGGAACTCTACACTGGGGGCTTTGTTCACAAAGATTAAGCCAAGAAAGAGCACAGGCACATATACGTACACCCATATGTGCACTCACAGTGTGTATGAGCTGCAACACCACACATACCCACACCTTTGTCCTTTAACCTCCTGCCACCAATGACCTTTGCATTTGTTTTGTGCACACTGGGGTACAATACTGTCAGGAAAGACAAAGGATCACAGAGGCACATGTGTGTGCATGCTTGCTGTTGTGTATCTAATTGAGGACCTTCAAGACAACAGTGGGAGGTCCCCTCCTCCCATGTCTCCTTGGTAATAACGGGAACACTCTCCTCTCCAATGAAGCTGCATCTAGAAGCCTTATTACAGGCCAGTGAAGCTCGACCACGTTTAAGTGCTCCCTTCCTGATCTACAAATGTTCCCTTCATTTTCTGTCTGACTCAGATCAGGGTTAGAAGATCCCTGTTTTATCTGTTACAGACACACATTTCTTTTAACACTTAAATATTCATTTTGTGTCATTGTTTCCCCATACCTCCACCACATGTTGCTGAGCACTGTGAGCGTACGATGGCCCATGTGTAACTGGGTTTAATGTGATTCGTCATCATTTTTTCTTCGTTTCTCTTTAAAGTATATTCCCAATGTACACCAGGATTCCAGCCCTGCAATAAAATCTAAAAAGGACACAATATGTTAGTAATTAATGTGTTGAAGCAACAAATCATCTATGAACAAAGGAAAAATAATCATATTCACAGATCGCTTACTTCTATAACCAGTGTCTCATTAGTTGGGCCAGCTGATATAAGACTTTCTGGTCTGTTGTACGGTCTCTTATACTCAAATACTGTTCCAGCAATGGGGTGTCGGCCAGGCCAATCCACTGTCCATAGACCATTAAGGTAGTAATGTCTCTGGGTGTCCCTGACAGCCAGGTAGGAGCTTGATGTATTTAGTTCCATCACACGGATGCTACGAGCTCCAGCAGGAATTATAACCACACCATAGTACTCTACGAGACAAAATACAGTCGTAGAATTCTTGGTTAAAGTTTCAAAATCTTAAAGGTCAAGTTTATTCATATTTTTAATACATATTCAGTGGTCCTTCGTAGAAAGCCTTGTAAGTAGTTCTTGGCTAACAGCAACACAACTCTACCACTGAGTGTTTTCTCTGCAACAGTGATGTTTTATCTCCACAAATAACACAAGCCTGGAGGAGTTCTGCTGTGTGGTGGAGTTTCTAACACTATTGGTTACCTTCCACAAGTCGACATTCTCTGCTGTTACCTGGACATTAAACCAACAACAGCGAGTCAAGATGGGTCCATGCAAACAGATGAATGCACGTCCAGAACATGTGAGGAAGTGTGGCAGGCCTGCAACGCTCACATGTTGAGTCCAAGTCTGGCTTAATTTTAGTCGGTCTGTCTTTGGACCAACGCAAACGGTACACTACTTTGACCTAAATAACAGAGGTGTGACCAAGTCACTGCTTTGCAAGTCACAAGTAAGTCACACGTCTTTCCAGTCAAGTCTTGAGTCGAGTCCAAGTCAAAGACAACCAAGTCCAATTCAAGTCTAAAGTCAATGATCTGGAAGTCCAAATCAAGCCCAAGCCCTCAACTTTGAATTTTCAAGTCATAATCAAGTCATCTGTCCAATTTCAACTTAATGATAAAGATCATAAATAAATTCCAGAAACTTCTTAAAGCTTCATTTATTTGCTCAAACAAGCAGAAAGTGCAACTGAACTAGATTATAAACAAAGTGCTGCTGCAGTTAGCAGTACAAGATCAAACCCAGAACAAAGAATCATTTATGATTTATGTCCGTCTCGTGCCACTTATGTGCTAAAATATCAAAAATGCTCAAGTCATCATCAAGTCAACAGATGCAAGTCGATTCAAGTCGCAAGTAATTGGCGTTCAAGTCCGAGTCAAGTCGTAAGTCTTTATAAATTTTATCAAGTCAAGTCAGAAGTCGTTAAAATAATGAGTCTGACTCAAGTCCAAGTCACGTGACTCGAGTCCACACCTCTGCTGAATAACACGGTGTCTCACACAAATCGAGGATTTGAATGCTCTGTAGAATCCTGTGCCAGACCCCCTCCAACAATCTAACAACCACCTTGTTCCAGAGAGGCCACCGTAACAGACAGGGCTGACCAACCGCCCTCCACCTCTGTTACGATTGTTCTGACCCACTTGATATCTGAGCGTAGTGTCCCATTCGAGTTCTGCACCTCCACCTTCATTGCCCTAAGCTCTCCCTTGATTTCCTCAAAATCTTCCTTCATTTCAGATCCGAACAACACCAATATGTCGGATTTCACTGCTAGAAGTTTCTCAGTTTTTCAGACGTGTCCGTGTTGCTAGGGCCAGTGGGTGAGGTCGCAGTTCCAGCAGTGACCAGTTTGTTCCAGTTCGAGGAGGCTCCAGGCTCAGAGTCCGCGGCGCGAGTGTTTCTGCTCTTTTTAGTATTTGCTGCAATCTTTCAGAACATTCAGAATCAACAAATCCTGCCAGTTTTACAGAAAAGCGTTAGACGTCGAGTTCTGGAGTAAAAGTTAAATAAATACAAGTTTCAACTAAACACTATGCGGAGAACCTCCTCACGCATGTCTCACTCCCTCGCTGCCATCTCTCTTCCCACCTTCAGCAGTGTAGTACGTAAAAGATAACTTCACTGTTCAAGAAATAAATACACAGTTTGTCAAAAAGTGGCGTTTTATTCTTTTTCATTTCTTCACAATATCATTACGGAATCATTTGATCTGCTAACCTGCTATTTGCCATGGCATGCCAGGCAGATAGCTTTACGTGCCTTTTATAAAAAGTTATATGAAATAGCCAAAATTGGAGAATAGGTCAGTTTGAGTAAGTATGACTTACGGTTGGTAAAATGTTGCTTGGTGTATTGGCCTTTGTGGATCTTACAGGTGGAGTTGTTTCCTTTACACACACCACAAACATCAAGCACTGCTGTGGAGCCCAAAACATGATCACAGCCCACTTTCTGTGGAAGAAAGACATTGTTACACTTTATGGCTGATGAATTATGTACAAAGTTGAAATATTACTAACTCATGTCAGCTTAAACATTTATTATGAAGGTGGTGAAAAGTTAGATTGCTTGGTGGAAATAAAACATGTAGTGAGACATCAACGCAAGCCGACACTGAACACTCTTCTCGTGAGAGCACCACTCAAATGAAGTTCAACCTCCAAAACTTAAAATCCAAATTCGGCTTTCACAATTCAATGTATTACCTCACACAGTCCATCAATGCAGACATTGGAGCTGTCCTTAGAACACAGTGTCCCATCCTTAACTTTACTCGCCAGAGCAAAGAAGAAATCATAACCTTCAGCTAAGCAGTAAAGCTTGCAAGCATCTTGATCTAGAAAGTAATGAATTACATTAGTTTGTTGCTCAAAGGTTTCTCAGATGTTTATGTATATATATATATATATATATATATATATATATATATATATATATATATATATATATATATATATATATACATATTCAATTCAGTTCAATTCAAAAATACTTTATTAATCCCAGAGGGAAATTGATTAAAATTGAAATATATATATATATATATATATATATATATATATACATGCATATCATTATTATTATCTTGGGGAACCTTGAAAATGAATACCAGTCTTACCATCAACTCTTGTGTATGGTTTCCAGGTGTAGTACCATCCTCTGAATTGCTTTTTGTTAAATTCAGCACACTGTTGTGCTCTGTAGTCAGCAGTGTTGGTGGGACAGGCCTCAGTGTTACAGAGTCTATATGACCTGGAGGAGCCATCACAGAATTTGCCACCATTTGCAGGTCTGTCAAAATAGATGGAAAACAAACTGCTTGTAGCAAATTTCTGAGTAGTACAGAGCTTGTCTTCATATGTTTGATGCTGAGTATTTTATAGAGTTTTTATGGGCTGGAATGTGTGTGTTGACAAGAAATTGGTTACAGAATATTTTCATATTTTTAAAAATGAAGAAAAACCCAAGTTGCTTTTTATTTGCAGGGTAAGAAAATGTGACAGGAATTAAACACAGCCCACTGATTGTCAAGTCCTGTTATGAATAGTACCTGTGTGTGTGTGTGTGTGTGTGTGTGTGTGTGTGTGTGTGTGTGTGTGTGTGTGTGTGTGTGTGTGTGTGTGTGTGTGTGTGTGTGTGTGTGTGTGTGTGTGTGTGTGTGTGTGTGTGTGTGTGTGTGTGTGGCTGTAAATGTACTTTTGTGAGGGCTTCTCACACAGGTGTATTTCCTTGGGCTACTTAAAAAGTCCTTTCACAGTACTTTTACATGTTCTATCAGCCTTAAAATTGCATTGTCACATATCTCTCAAGTTTTAACCTTATCTTTGAATTCCATCTTTTACCTTTTAATCCCATTTCTGACATCTCACATTACTTACCCATTCTCTGTTTGCTCTCTTATCTTTGTACTCATAACCCTCTCTTCCAAATCTCCCTCATCATCATGAAGCCTAAACCACCTGTCAGAAATGTAGTATGGTAGGAAGGTGGTCCTGACATTCTGGACCAATTGACTAACAGATCTTATTTAAATGTATGCATTTCAGTCTGAACCCTTGTGTGTGAGGCACATGTGCACACAGTAATAGAAATAATTTAGTACAGAGGAGCCAGGTATGATAATAAACTGCTACAAATATGCTACACCACCTTTCTGAATGTCAAAAACTTATCAACCTATTGCACCCTGTCATGCATAATGAGCAGCTGACTGTTCCTAATGCATGAAGACCTCACCAAGACAAAGATATTCGTGTTCAGGCTAATGTTTTAAATTCTACTTCTAAATCACAGTACAATTGTTCATCTATTTTCAGAGATCAAAACAGTCACGCTAACAAGTCAGTCAAGCTGTAAAAAGAATCAACATCCTGCTTATCTAGAGATAAAACAATATTAACTTCATCTTGAACAGCCATAAACTTCACGGTTGTTCACATCTTCCGTACACAACTGACAAGACAGTGTATTACATCTGCTTGGCTTACTTTGTACAAAGTTAGGGGGAACACAAACATGCCCTGATGCACATCGTGTTGATTTGAAGGTGTGGTTAACTGAAAAACAATTTTTAAAGATTATTTCTGATTTTAATCGGTCTCTCTGAGTTTTCTATGCTGGCTGAACATGAAAATAGTCTCCTACACCTATTTCCTGCATTAGCTTCTGACAGAAAATAGACGGTGAAACTCTAGGAACAGAAAAGCCTGACAGATCTACGTCACACTGTCACTTAGCATTCATGGACTCACCCATCTTGACTCACGACGGGGAAGGCTGTTGTTGGTTTAGCTTCCAGGAAACAGCAGAGAACTCCTCGGCTAGTAGCTAACCCTTAGCATTAACAACTCCACCACACATCAACGTTGCAGAGGACACTGAGTCAGTGTTAGATTGGTATTGTTGTTAGCCAATCAGAGGCAAGATGTCCAAATATCAGGAAATAAGACTCCAAATCCATTCTGAAGCTCAACTCTGACGTGACTCACTTCTAATTCCTGAAGATGGTGCACTAGATTTTATTTAAAAGCACCTTTCAAACCACTTGAGAGGTTTAGTGAGATTTCAAATTCAAATTCAAATTTGAGTCAAATTCAAAGATACTTTATTAATCCCAGAGGGAAATTAGAGTCTAATCTGAGAATGGTCGTGAGTGAAATTGTTGCGTGATGTGTAGTTTTCACTGTATGACTGGACACCACACATAGTAGAATCTAAACGTTAATATATGTGATATTTTTATTGCCATGTGTGATGTCTCTCGTCGTCGTCATCTTCCTCCGCTTATCCGGGTCCGGGTCGCGGGGGCAGCATCCCAACTAGGGAGCCCCAGACCATCCTCTCCCTGGCCACCTCCACCAGCTCCTCCGGCAGGACCCCAAGGCATTCCCAGACCAGATTAGAGATGTAACCTCTCCAACGTGTCCTGGGTCGACCCAGGGGCCTCGTGCCAGCAGGACATGCCCGAAACATCTCCCCCAGGGAGGCATCCTGATCAGATGCCCAAACCACCTCAACTGACTCCTTTCGATCCGGAGGAACAGCGGTTCTACTCCGAGTCCCTCCCGAATGTCCGAGCTCCTCACCCTATCTCTAAGGCTTGGTTTATGCTTGATGCATTTATTTTCTGCTTGGTGATGCGGCTTGCGGATGGAACGTGCTTCACAACTTGCAGCATTTATGGTTCATGTGGCTTGTCTCCGCAGTGAGTCAATATTCTCCCAAGCTGAACGGGGCAGCATGGAGCTCTACGGCATGCATCCAACACCACCATAGTAGAAGTAAAAATGACTGTTGTTTACAACATGGCATTCCAGCATTTTTTAACAGCGTCCTCGTCTTTTCCGACAGTGCGAGCTATTTCTCTCCAAGAATTTTTAACAACATGTTGATCACGGTGTAATGTGATGAAGGAGCCATTTCTCCCCTCTAACAGCTGTTTCTTTTTGACACAGTGCCAGAGTGCATGAAACAGCCAAGGTCATGCATTCACTTCTAAACTGTTTACATTCCAGCGATGAAGACAGAAGATGAAGACTGCTTTCTTTTCTTTTATTAAACCAAGAACTCTATTTTCAATAAAAGCTAATCAAAACAACTGTTAGTCAATAATTACCATGTGACCGATCTGTGAAATCACAATGTTATGATTAATGTTTTAATAAGTAAATGACTTATTCTTTCTGGTTAGAAAATTTCCTAGGTGCGCGGTGCGGAAAGTTTGGGCCATGCGGAGGCGCAGTGGAGGGGCGTAGTTGTTAAAATGACGCAATTTTGCTGCGCGGAGCCGTGTGAACCTCGCAGACGCGTCAAGCATAAACCAAGCTTAAGGCTGAGCCCGGCCACCCTACGGAGGAAACTCATTTTGGCAGCTTGTATCCACGATCTCGTCCTTTCGGTCATTACCCAAAGCTCATGACCATAGGTGAGGATTGGGACGTAGGTCGACCGGTAAATCGAGAGCCTGGCTTTCTGGCTCAGCTCCCTCTTCACCAATGGCTCAGCGTCCGCATCACTGCAGACGCTGAACCAATCCGCCTGTCGATCTCCCGATCCCTCCTACCCTCACTCATGAACAAGACCCCGAGATACTTAAACTCCTCCACTTGAAGTATGACCTCTCTCCCGACCCGGAGGTGGCAAGCCACCCTTTTCCGGTCGAGAACCATGGTCTCAGATTTGGAGGTGCTGATCCTCATCCCAGCCGCTTCACACTCGGCCGCGAACCTACCCAGCAAGAGCTGAAGGTCAGAGCTGGATGAAGCTAGGAGGACCACATCTTCCGCAAAAAGCAGAGACGAGATTCTCCTGCCACCAGACTCGACACACTCTACACCACGGCTGCGCCTAGAAATTCTGTCCATAAAGGTAATGAACAGAACCGTTGACAAAGGGCAGCCCTGGCGGAGTCCAACCCTCACCAGGAACAGGTCTGACTTACTACCTTCAATGCGGACCAAACTCACGCTCCTCTGGGAAAGGGACTGAATGGCCCTTAACAGATGTCTCTCATGTTCTGAAAATCCTGTTGTGTGAACTGGACCCACTACTGAAAAAAGCCAGTTAACCTTCATTATCTCCACTGAATTTAAACATTAAAACTATCAATCATTCCATTTGGATGAGAATAGACAAAACACAACTCAAAAGGTAAACCTTCATACCTTTAAGTGTTTCTAACCGAGATCTATGCTTTAGTGTTCACAGCTTATTGTGTTCTGCCATGACGCATCTCTGGTTTACCTGGGGTTGTTGCACTGCCTCTCTCGATATGTGACTCCGCTCTCACAGCTTCGAGAGCAGGTTGACCACGATGACCACTCTGACCAGTGACCATGCTGAGGCCTGGGGCCCTCATCGCCCTGTTTCACACACTGGCCTCTACGACACCACTGAATGGAAATAAAAAGGGATAGTATGCAGGTGAATCATGAGTACAGATAACAGGAAGCCCTCATTGTCTGATCAGAGATGGGTCTGTTGTACTGTTGTGAAAATCTCTGATTAAATCTGAGGATGAAAGCCTTTGATTTCTAGGTTAATGTAAGGAACTGGTCCTCTTGTTTCATTGGTCTCATGAAACTTGGTCCATAATTTGGGAAAGTGCTGCCCCTCTGGTTACCAGATGTGTTGCTGTGGTGCTCATGTAATGCACGATTATTATGAGCTGTTGCTCATAGTAAAGAGAACTAATCAGGCTTTTCAATGATCACCAATTAATACTGTTATAAGGGAGAAATTATAAACTGAGACAATGTCTGAAAACATTTTTCAGTTCATTTTCAAGCTGACATTCTAAATTAAATTAATAAAATTAGCACATTTGTGCCAAACATGCATCTTTTTCAATCAATCAATCAATCAAAGCTTTATTTATAAAGCGCCTTCCGCAACCCTGTCAGGAAGCCCAAAGCGCTGAACATGGTACAGTTGTAAGTAATTATACTGAATAAATCAACAATAAAAGAAATTCAAATTACAAAATACAAATTACAAAATACAAAATGGAAATAACAAGATAGATGAAACATTCCGGTAAAATACAAATGTGTGAAACACAATTGGATTGAGTGGATGGATTGAGTGTACCAATGAAAACTGTGGAATGGATTCAACATAATAGATGGCCATAATCAAACATGTTCTGGAAACGCCAAGCAGAGGAGGTGTGTTTTTAGGTGATTCTTAAAAACTGGCAGAGAAGGGGACAGCCTAACTGAGGGTGGCAACTGGTTCCAGAGTAACGGTGCTAGGACTGAGAAAGCCCGGTCCCCACGGGTACGACACCTAGACCGAGGGACAGCAAGCAGGCCTTGGTCAGAGGAGCGCAGAGCGCGTGATGGGGAATGTCTGTTCAGGAGTGTGGCCAGATAGGGGGGAGCACCACCCTGGAAGAAATGATAAACAAAGACGAGTATTTTGAATTGTGAGCGATAGGAAATCGGAAGCCAGTGCAGGGAGGCCAGAACTGGACTGATGTGGTCCCGTTTCCTGGTCCCAGTCAGGAACCTGGCAGCGCTGTTCTGCACAACCTGTAGGCGACGCAGTGTTGACTGACACAACCCTGCGTAGAGAGAGCTGCAGTAGTCAAGCCGAGAAATTACAAAGGCATGCAGTACCCGCTCCAGGTGGGCTCTCAACAGCATATGCTTGATTTTAGCAAGGCGTCTCAGGTGAAAGAAACTGGACCGGATCACAGAATTGATGTGAGCATCAAATTTAAGTCCTACATCAAGTTTCACCCCCAAACTGGTAACAACTGGTTTTGAGTATGGAGAAAGAGGGCCAAGATCAGCATAACGACCCACATTCCTGCTGTTGGGGTGAAAAACAATGAGCTCTGTCTTTCCCTCATTCAGATGTAGATAGTTGGACATTAGCCAAGACTTCACCTCATTAACACAGGAGACAAAGGACTGAATAGAGTGACCTTTCTCCTGACACAATGGAGAGTAAATCTGGCAATCGTCAGCATACAGATGGAATGATAGGCCATGTTTACGAAAGATTGACCCCAGAGGTAGCAGATAAATGGCAAACAAAAGTGGACCAAGGATCGACCCCTGCGGGACCCCCCCACCGGAGCCCCTCCCAAGAAGAAAAAACATCACCCAGTTTAACACAGAATGTCCTGTTTTGGAGATACGATCTAAACCAGTCCAGAGCTGACCCTTTGATCCCAACCCATCGTTCCAAGCGATCGAGTAGAATCACGTGGTCAACTGTGTCGAAGGCTGCTGTCAGGTCTAATAACAGAAGCAGCACAGATGTTCCCTGATCTAGTGATAGATAGATGTCATTTAGGACCCTCAGTAGAGCTGACTCTGTGCTATGGCCAGACCTGAACCCTGATTGGAAAACCTCAAACAGATCAGAGTCAGCTAAATGTGAGACCAGCTGCTGATAAACGACTTTCTCAAGCAGTTTAGATGTAAAGGGCAGGGTAGAGATAGGCCTGTAATTTTCGATCACAGAGACATCAGCACCAGGTTTCTTCAGGGTCGGCCGAATAACTGCTGCTTTCAAAGCAGCTGGGACCACACCTGTGCTGAGGCTCCCATTGATAATCTGACCAAGTGAAGGGCCAAGGCACGGAAAGGCAGCCTTCCAGAGACGAGGTGGCAGAACATCAAGTGGAGAGCCAGATGGCTTCTGCCTCGCAACTAGCTTACTCAGCTCAGAGTATGAAACTGTATTGAGGGAGCTCAGGGTGGGTGGTAATGGAGGAACTGGAACAGGGTCAACAGAGTTACAAGAAATGACTGCTCTAGTGCCCGACACTTTATCAACAAAGAATTTGTGAAAAGCTTCAGAGTTTCCAGCAGCTGTAGGAGACATGGTGCTAGGCTCCTGATACACCAGAACTGAGTTTAGCATTTTGAAGAGAATCTTAGGATTATTGGAGTTTGTCTCAATGATGTCTGCAAAATAGGCCATTCTGGCGGCCCTCACTGCATCCTGATAAGCAACCAGAGATGCTCTGAACAACTCACGCGAGACCTGTAGGCCATCCTTTTTCCACTTTCTCTCAGAGGACCTACACGCCCGCCTACAAGCCCGTGTGACATCAGAGAGCCAAGGCTCCCTCCTAGGCCGAGACTTGCAAAGCTTGAGAGGGGCAACCACGTCCAGGACCTGATTACAAAGTACATCAAAGTGTTGTGAATAGTGATCAACGTTAGATGGATCAGGGTTAAAGGTCTCTAACCTTACAGACATACAGTCCACAAACTTTGAAATTGTTTCTGCATCCAGGGCTCTGAACCTAGTAGCTGGAGCTTCACACACAGGGACAGGACATGGCAACGTAACATCACAGAGTATTGGAGAGTGGTCAGAGAACACAGGAGACAAAGTAACAAGGTTCATGATGGGTAGACCATAAGAGATAACCAGGTCCAGGGTGTGACCCCTGGCATGAGTTGGGGATGATACCCATTGAGTTAGATTGAATGACTCTAGCAAATTAAAAAAACCTTTAGCAAGCACATTATCAGGACAGCAGATATGGATTTTAATGTAATACTGTAATGTAATAATAAGTATTTTAATGTAATACTTCTAAGCGCTTGCTCAGGAAGGCAATAGGGCATGACAAAACAGGACTTTCTGCAAAATTATCTGAGTAAAGTTTTTTTTTCTCCAGTGGGCTGCATTAAATACTCCACAGAGAAGAATGCGTCATACAGACACTATGCATTTTACAGTAATGTGTTAAAAAGGGATGCGACATTGACCAAAGAACAGCCACAATTTCCACATTTAGCAGGAATGTTCCAGTGTACAAACACACCCTCACAGAAATACACAGAAAGAGCTCTCTAAACAAGAACAGCTGATTTCCCTTCAGGGGTTTCTCCTCCAGCAGTGTCACAAACTCCTATCTGATCCTGTCAAAGTTTGTGTTCAGCTAATTAAATAAACCACCGCTGTTATTATCTTCAGCATGAATGTAGATGATGGGCTGTCGGGGGAGTGAGCTTTAAGGAGAATCAACAAAGACAGTAACAAAACAATTATCTTAAATAAAAAAATACATTGTGCTTCTGTTGGCTCAAACCCCAATGGCTCATTTCTGCCACATCAGCTGCTCCTTCAGGTGAAAACAAGAGCAAGGAAATGGTTCCTTCTGTGAATGGTTCCTTCCTAACCCTAACCCAACCCATTCACACTGAACATGAACTAAAACCTAACACAGAGTAGAGCTGCTCAAACATCTCTTCTCAGCTTGTGTGAGGATTTCTGAGTTCAAGCCTTTTGTCCTCAAATGGCACAACTCAGTGGAAGTACTTGCACCAAACAACCCTTAAAGGCTCAATAAAGTTTTGCTTTTAGCAGGATCGATTTAGATTGTCCACGACATAAAATACTGTCGCTCTTCGTTTCATGTAATTGACGGATGGAGAGGTATCCTTTGGAGGAAGAATGTGTTTGTCTCTGTAGAAGACATCACGTTTTACAAGCTTTACTCTCAGATAAATGCTACATAGCTCATTATGTTGGGCAGCACACTGACAAAAGGAAAACTTGTGTCTCCAAAATAAAAGTTACTCGTGAATGAGTCGAGTCAATTAAACCTGAGCGGAGACCTTTAAAGCTGACACTTGAGATGTGCTTGTTTGATTGGTGTTGCACTGATGGAAGACTTCTATGTCCTAACAAAACCCACAAGGCAGTGTTTGTCAGACGCTCTTGTTTGGTGACATTTACAAGAGGATTTATTTGGTGAGATGTTGCCAGACAACGAAGGACTAACTCCAGTAAAAAAGAAAAAAACAAGAAAACGTTAAAACAGAAGATCAAAGGTCATCTTTACCCCTGGAAAATAAAACGTGAATCGTTTTCAAAAAAGGATGAATGACTTACTCTGAAAAAAAATCAAAAACAAAAGAAATATGAGGAGGGAGCTTTGTCGCTGGACAGTTTTTGGTTTAAAAAACCCGAGTTTATAACTGATGCAAACAAAACGGGTGTGCAGTCACCATATTGGGGCCGCAGGCAGAGCCCTCGGCAGCTGGCATGAATTTGGTCTCACACTTCCTCCCAACACGGTGGCACCACAGAGCCTTGCAGATGTCCTGGAACGACATTAGAGGTAAATAAACTAAATGGAATGACCAGGATCTTCCTCACAGCAGCCATGAACAAAGCTACCAGAAACTGGAGGAAAGATAATTGATGACACTGTTATTTCGCCTTTGGGGAATCATTAAGACATGTTGATGAAAGCTTGATGAAATGGATATTGCCTGAAAAATGAGGATTTCGCGACCTGTCCCAGTGCAGCAACATTTCCAAAATATTCATGCTTCTGTAGCTAGGATGACAACATTTCCAAAAAGAGAGAAAAAAGCTGCTGTTAATTTAATTTCTGTAAAAGGGAGACAAATATTTTGGCTGTCTGAGTGTTTAGTTGTGTCATTTTCATATTATAAAAAGAGAAACAGCAGAAATATGATTGGGTCGTACCAGGCTCATATCATATCCTGATTCTAGGCTTTGTTCAAAAAATGAAAAAGAGAAATCTCCATGGGAGCCCCGGGTGGTTTCCCTGCTACTTTTTAGCGTGGCCACTCTGTTTCTGTCTGGACGACTACATCAGATTGTAACAACTCAGTGCAGATGCTGACAAGCATCTCTGCCTCAGCAGGTCGCAGCCAAGAGCCACCATGGAATTCTTTCCAAGGCCTTTTTGTCCAGCATGCTCGGAACATTTCTAGCAGTAAAACTGGATGACAAGGTTCATGAAGGACGGATGAAATGCACAGAAACAGGAATTAATAATTGAACCAGAAAACACCTGCACACATTTTTATTTTGAGGTGGCAACCAATCCTCATCTAACTGCTCACACTGAGGAGGAAATAATGAGTCGTTTTCAATGGTATCTAATTGTGACACGTTTGCCAACTAGTTTCCTGATATATGAATTTACAATAAACTACACAACTGAGATGGTTTCTTGTACTTTTCATCAATTTTTTTTAGTGTTCGGAATGCTTCTGATTTTTTCAAGCACTATGATTCGTTACATAAAAAAGGATTCTGGCATGATCCAGTCTGCAGGTAACTTTCAATGTTTTCTCAAACAATTTTAGGAGTGTCTGCACACTGTAAAATGTACGATTTTTACAGACATTACCAGATTTTGCATGGGTTTAAGGAGGTTTTATCTTAAGTCTAGAATTTATGTGTGTGATATCTATGAACATGTGATGCAAAGTCTCATTTCAATGCATTTTCCGTGTTTATTGTTTTTTGGGTGCGTAATTTCACAACTAAAAACAACATGTTCAAAGTAAATACAAAAACACAGAATACAAATTGTTCTAGCATGATACATATTTTTTAAGATTTCAAGAATCACTTTATTGTCTCTGCCCACATTTTCATAAACAAGAAAGTTTAGTTGCCTTAGCAGAAGCTTTGTCTGGGGTCATACGAACAGGTGAAGATGAGTGAACCAAGAAGGAGGATGAAACATGGGAAAATAAAAGAGGAACAGCAATGATGTGATGACATTATTATACTGTTCATTTATCATGTGCACAAACTAACAAACATTATATATATATATATATATATATATATATATATATATATATATATATATATATATATATACATAGATATATATCACCTCAAACATTCAAGATTCCTTCCATCTCTAGGACTTAACTACACGTGATAACCTGTGGTTTAAAGAAAAGTAAATATCCAATGACACTATGCAGAGGAGAGGCCATCTTTAGGTTTAAGACACTGCATCATGGATTATTGAGCAAAATCAGACAAACAACTGCCTTTGCACTGGTATTTAATTTCAAAACTAAATAAGTTTTTTGGAATATTTCCAACCAGTAAAATAAACAGCAATATCAGCAAAAAAAGACAATGGGGGAGCAAGAAGGAAAAATTCCCATTGGCAATGTTCCAGGGTGTATTTAATCCTTACCACAAGGGTAGCATTACAAATCCTACTGTTTGTTTTGTGTGTGTGTGTGTGTGTGTATGCATGCGCGCATGCACACACAACACACACACACACACACACACACACACACACACACACACACACACACACACACACACACACACACACACACACACACACACACACACACACACACACACACGGGTCTATGCAAGTATTAACATGAGGATATGTAACTCTATCCCGTTCTTTTTTCTTCCTTTCCTCTTTCATGTTCATTTATCCTGCCTAACCCTAACCCTAACCCTCATGCCATCTCACTGTAAAGTTCTTCCTACAAAACAATTTTTAAAGCAGTTCAGCTGCCACAAGTCAGCAAACCTTTACATGATTGCAAATAAGTGTTTTTTTTGTTGCAATTAGCCTTACCTTTTTAAAAGCAAGGGTGCAGAGTTTGGCCTTCTCTCCAAACTGCCATTTGCACTGCGTGTCTGCGTCGTACAACTCGCCCGGTAGCTTCTCTGGGTAGCTGTACTCCTTGACTGCTTTGGGTTCATCTGACAGGCACAAAGCCTGGGCAGTACTGGAGAGCAGGAGGTGGGAAAAACGATGGAAACATAATCAAGAAATGAAAAAGATGCTTGGACTGCTGGCTTGTCCCAAGTGTGGCATTTTTTCACCTTGAAATTATTTTGTGTGGCCCCAAATGCTTTTCAAGAGTGGTGTCATTTTAAATGCCCAGCAGTCTAGATATAGATAATCAACTTTTGTAACATTTGTCACTTTTTACCATATAAATGTATTGTTTTTGGCATTTTCTTCTAATTATCATTTTTATGGCCCAAAACAACTTTTAATTTGGCCCTTGTCTTGGACACCTCTGGTTTAGAAGATCATTGTCACACTAGAACGGCCACCAAACCGCCACCATTAGAATGGTCTTGAGTAGTAATTATGACGGCTGCTTGTAAAGGTCAGTCAATTCACCTTGTAAGTTTATAATTTCATATAATATTTAATTTAATTAACTAAATAAGGGTTTATTAACCAAAAACGCTGTTTCAGAATCATAACTGTCCATTGTATCAGTCTCTCTTACACCAATTCTACAACCATAGTTTTTATGCGTTTTCTCTCTTCCTTTATATTTTAGTCATAAAAGACAAAACAATAAATAACGAGGTCGAGAAATAATGCTGGAGTTGCTCTTTGATTGTAAAATTTCAAATTCTCGGTGTTCTATTTTTAATTTTTTCAGAGAAACCAGCGAGAAAATCACTGGCATTCAAAATGACGGCCTCGAACCAAAATAAGTAGAAATGATCACATTTTTGTTTGTCTTTTGCACAATGCACATGAAATCCATTTGTAATGAAAATTTGCACATTTTTAGGAATTCAGGAAATAGCAAGGCTGTATGCTTTTATTTGTTAAAGTAATTAAACAAGCCAATTGTAAAACAGTCAGAATGTTAATACATAGGCGTGAGATTGTAGGTTGTACCATTACATGAAATAAAGCCTCATTGCTGGGTACTCTAAAATTGTTCCAAAGCGAGCATCCACATGTTCCACTGCTGCTGACACCAGGGGCAACTGTGGAGTGTTGCCATGGTAACATAATACCTTTCCAAAAACAAAAATCTCAGAGTGATGGTTTTCATGCAACACTCAATTTTGATAGACATAAAAGTCTTTGCTCATATCACTTGTATTCTAACACCTGTAAGAAGGTGGTGGTGGTGGTGGGGGGGTGCCTTAATTTTAACTGATATCAAGGGTTTCTTTAAATAAATGTTTTACAGCTTAAGTATCGCAGTAGAGGGAATATAAAACACAAATATGATGGAAAGAACTTGAAAAGGCAAATATGTTGGAATGGTACATTTAGTTAGCGAGTGGTCCTGATTGCTTTAACAGAAATATATATACATGTGTGTGTGTGTGTGTGTGTGTGTGTGTGTGAGTGCACGCGCTATTCCAGCTTTTTATGAGTCCTGTGTGTCTACAGTGAACAATTACTGCCCTCTGCAAGTGTAACATTCTGATATTCCACATTATTCACAATAAAGGGATTCTGAAAAATAGATTTTGCAAATGGTGTAATCAAACACATCTGTAGGGTTTGGTAAATTGAGTGCTTTAAGAGCTCAATATATATATTACCTCTACTGATGACCAATAAGCTGTGATACTCTATCTAAATATAGAATATCAACCATGCTTGATCTTTACTGTGTTAATCAGAAGATTCTAGGATTCTTTATTTTTTAGGGGATTGTACACACTTTGTTTTGATTCAGAAGAGTCAGGTTTATAAAAGTAAGAATTTATTTTACTAACAATTAAAACATGACAAGTTAACTAACATTTACTGTGATGGGTGGAACTAGATGTGACATATGAACCTATGTGTGAATGCAATGTTATCAGAACTTCCGTATCTAGGAGAGCTGAGTTCTGGATGTAAAATAATTTGCTTTGCTTTAAGCTATGAAGTTGATTATTATCAAAAGCACATCAGACACTATCTGTCGTTTCTACTTCACCCGTTCTTGGAGACTCTCTTAGTGGATCCGAGGGTCAGAGAGGTCGGATGACCTCTGGCACCGAAGGGCTGTAGAATACCGTAGCACCGACTCTTCAGTCCAGAGATGTCTCGGGTCACGAACAGATGGATGGAACCGCGCGTCTGGGACTCTTAAGGAGTCTTAACAATATCAGCTCGTCCTGCAGGAACCGTTTGCTGTATAAGCTTCGCAGGTGCAAAAAGATTTTGACGACGTGTCAAAAGCTTTGATGGGTTAAAGAGGGTTTTGCTTCAGATGGCCGGTCTGAAGCTTTCTCTAGAACTGATGAATCACCAGAGTGATCCAGTTTTAATGTACTCATGTTATGAGTTGTGTAGCCAACCAGAGGTTGACAAGTTGAGGAATATTACCAAGACAACTTCAGAAACATGCCTTCCTTGATACCGGATGCTCTGATCTGGGGTAAAGGACTATCCATGTGTCACGCGTTTGACTTAACCTTACTTTGTCCTTGTATGAGTGCAAATGGTGATGACCTTGCCATATAAACATGCTGAAACATATATCAATTTAATCATAACATAACATTCATTTGAAACTTCAATCATTGAGCACAGATTAATGAAACATTTCCTTATATTATAATAATTATAAGTAGCAATAAACAAACATTTATTTAATGGTTATCTAGCTTATACGTTTTAGAAGTTCATATTTAATTTAGGAAATCATTCTTTGATTCAGCAACTAATCCGGGCTGCGAGTGTTCACTTATTTGGAGGCATGAAGAATCCTGTAGGACGATAAGGGAAGCTTGAACCTTGAGGAGTGAACATTATTGTTGACTATTCATTATTTGTGTTCAGAGCTGCAGAGAGGCTCTGAGCTCCAGCTGATGGGATGAAGGCAGGCTGATTTAAGGGGAACACATGCAGTCTCGTGTCACCTTTTTGACCAGATGTTGAATGGTCAAACAGTACCCAAAAACTGACCATTGCTGGACGTTATACATCTGTGGCTGTACAAATATGGACTAGATGCTGTCAGTCACTTAAATTCATCCAAAACAGACACTGACGATACTCAGTTATATTTATCCATTAACCCTGATGAACCTAATCGGTTAGTTAGATTACAGGCTTGTCTTGAAGACATAAAAAACTTGGATGACTCAAAACGTTCTAATTTTAAATCAAGACAAAATTGAAGTTCTCATCTTTGGACCGGAGTTTCAGAAAAGGAAATTGCTTAGTCAATCACCATTGCACACGAATCTGGACCTGACCTGAACAGCATTAAATTAGCCTTCAAGAACATTGTAAGGAATCTTGGTGTTATCTTTGACCAGGACGTCATTCAAATCCCACATTAACCCTCTCAGGCTCAAAATAAGTTTTGGTAAAAGGACAAACAACTAAGTCCTTCAGGGGTACTTCTGAGTTAAAAAAATGCTCATGAAATACGTATGTGGAGTAACCATGTAGGTAGGTTTTAACGTTGCAAATCTGCAATGCCTGCCTCCAGAGGGTTAAACAGGTTGGTAGGATTTCCATCTGTGGAATATTGCTAAGATTAGACACATCATTTCCAGGAGTGATGCTGAAAAACTAGTTCATGCATTTATTACATCAAGACTGGATTACTGTAATTCATTACTCTCAGGAAGTCCACAGAATGTAGTTAAAAGTCTTCAGCTTGTCCAAAATGCTGCAGCTAGAGTTCTGATGAGAATTAAAAAGAGATCATATCTCTCCTGTCTTAGCTTCTCTACATTGGCTACATGTTAAATTCAGAATAGATTTTAAGATCCTCCTTCTCACATATAAAGCTCTTAATAATCAAGCTCCATCATATATCAGATTGTTCCATATTCCTAACAGAACACTATGCTCTCAGACTGCATGTTTACTGGTGGTTCTTAGAATATCTAAAAATAGAATGGGAGACAGATCTTTTAGCTATCAGGCTCCTCTCTTGTGGAAACAACTCCCAGCTTTAGTCCGTGAGGCAGACACCTTGTCTACTTTTAAGACTAGGCTTAAAACATTAATTTGATAGGGTCTATGGTTAAAATCTGATGTTAGCCCAGATCTGGACGGTTGGGGGAGTGGAGGGAGGTGGAGTGTACAGTCGGTAAAGATGGCTCTTCCTTGTCCTGCCTCCAACATGCCTCCATCTAAAAGGCGAGGTAATCTAGAGTTATCTCTGTAGTTATGCTGCTACAGACATAGACTGCTGGAGGAAACACTGACCACTTTCCACACTCTACTACATTCTTCTACCACTTCTCTCTAATTGCATTACTTCCTGCTATTTTAGCTGTTAACTTTATTTTTTCTCCTCAGAAGAAGCACCAATGGTGTTCTGCTGAGCTGTGGTGACCTCATGGAGGGGGCCATCGGCTGACACTGCTGCTAACCACTTAAACATTCTCCCTCTCCTGATTATAACATTTTAATTTCTTTGACATTGAACGTGCTGCTACTAGTTCACTTGTTGGATTAATTATATGTAGATCAACTAAGATAAAGACAATAAAGTTTATCTCTTACAAAATAGAATATTTACAAAAATATCACAATTTAGCCATAGAAACACTATTTGGTATGTTGTTTGTGTGTGTGTGGTGGATGGGGGGCTGTGAGGGTATGTTTGTGTGTGTGTGAGTCCTGGTGGATGGCTGCTATAAGGTGGTTTTTCAGGAACACTACTCAAAGCAACTCGGACCGATGCAGCTCGGCCCAACCACAGTTTCCAAGGGCGCGATTCGGTATCTTCCCTCTATTTTCTCCTCTATTTTTAGTCCCTGCTCTGTTGAAGTACCTGGCAAGACTGAGTCGGGCAGGCATCATGATTCTGGCCGCGGATTGGCTAGGGGGCGGACTCACTGGTTGCTCCGGAGTTTTTTGTTTTCTGTTTCACTGCCTGCAGCCATTTCCTGGTTCAGAGTCTGACAAAAACCCATAAAAGTGAGCAAAATGTCCAGCAACACCACCATGTTTCAGCTGAGTTGTGTTTCTGTGCAGCATACAAGTTACCTTACACTGTTTACTGATCACCTCATGTTATTTTGTCACAAGTGAAAATCGTGAATTGATCTGAATCAGGAAAACCAACCCATTTTGTGTCTTTTCAGGATCCCATGACAAAAACGACTTAATGTCTCATCTTTTCCTCAAAGTTTATCCTGTGGGAACACTACACATTTATCATGAGTTGGAGGTAAAAAGAGAGTTTAATTTATTTCAAAGATTTCTCACAGACCTACTGAATCATTTCTGCCAGATGAAATTACTGAGGTATCATGGTTAGCCGGTGTGAAAAAGAATGCCAGCTGCCATGTAAAATGGCAAATGGACAAAATAAAAATAAAACACACTAAAGGCTTGACTCCATACAGCAACTGTACTACTGAGAACCTGCGTCAGCATTTGATTAGCCCATGTAAGTTTAGCCTAAAATCCTGGATAGACACCTTTATTCACCACATAAAGGAAAACACTGAAAGTAAAAATCTGTTGAGGATGAGGTAGAAAACAGGTGATCTGAGGCACTCTGATGATATTATTTTATTGAGCAAGAAAACTAAAAATCTGTTGCTCTGAATGCTACATTTATTAGATCTGAAGACTGAAGAAATTAAGACTTAATTTCGCTTTTAAAATGTTGTGACATGACATTCTTTCCACATTGCCTGGGCCTTTTGTAACACTGCACTAAACCAGCTTTAGCATTTAAGTATTAAATCAAAATCTTTAACATATTTCTGATAAGATCAAAGAAAACATAATTTCCACATTTCTAACCACTGCAGGTAAACTTAATAGCACTTAAATCTTCCAACTGAATTGCCTTATTTGGTATTAAAATTTCAGTCATGACAGCCATACAAACTTAAGAACCTGCTTTGATGCACTGCACCAAAGCACGCCTCGATCTTCAACTGGATGATGAAACTCGGATTTAACCTGAGTATAAAGCAGCCTATTGGCTGATGGGGTGCTTGGTATCACAGCACATGAAAAAATGGTCAACACATTGAACCCAAATTGTATAATATGGTATAGTATATAACTCATATAGTGTTGATTATAACAGAGCATTTACAGCTCAGGATTACCTCTAGAAGAAGACCAGAGGACTCTGTGATGCTGAGATCCTCTCCATCTGACCTTAAGAGGTGATGGAAGTTTAATATAAGGCTGACAGGTCTAACAAGGTTGAGGTCATCCCAGCTCTAATAACTCGGCGAGGAAATACACCGTCTGTCTCCACCACTTGGAGAGGGAGACCTAACAGTTCAGTTAACACACTGGTAAATTTAGTGGAGGGCACTGACTCTGACCTATCTAGTTTCAAACACACATACACACACACCCTCGAGCACATTCGCAGACACAGAAACACGGCCAGACATGTGGACGCTGTTGCAGTGATGGTTGTTTTTCTGCCTGGGTGAGCAGACTGTTTGAAATGCAGTCGCTGCACAAAAACACACTTTTTATCTCTTGAAAACTTAAACCAGCATGTGGCTGGGCACATAATAAATCGTCTCTCTATAAAACAGCATTTAGAGGCAAAAACTCACACCATTCTAACTAGTTGCTATTCAAACTTAATTCTCTGTGTCAATATATCTTTGTAATTGGACCAACAGTTACCAGGCAACTATTGTTTACTCTTTACTGAACATGTTTACTGAACTCTTTACTGAACATTGATACATTCAGGCTTTACTCTACAAGACATTATGTCTGCTGCATTATTAGCACATAACAAATGCTGTAAAAGCTGATTTACTGGTGGCTCATCAACTTGATGACTCCTATGTCCTGAAAACTACTTTAGGAGGGTTGCCCTTAAATGTCTGCGTTACTAAGAGCTTCTTAAATCACATATTTCAGCATGAAGAAAAAAGCTACAGAACAGCTTACTTGAGAAAGCGACTGAGGTACTGGCGACTACAAAGGGACCAAGAAAAGACGCCATTGTGTCCGGCTAATGTGGGTGACATGATGTTGCCCTCTGACTTTTTGCAAACGTTCCCCTCGCCATCATGGACCATTCCAAAACTGGAAAAAAAGAAGTGCACAAGAGATGTTCTTGTTGTTATGGTGCTTCGTTCTAACGATGCAGGTTTTTATTTCATTGCAACAAAAGATGTGAACCCAAAAAAATGTATTCACCATGTGAAGCAGAAACCAAAATATGAATTACTGAGGGTAAGAAGCCTATCATTAACTTGCAGATTTATGATAAATACTTAAAAACATCTTGTATTGTTCAAATGTCAAATACAGAGAATGCTCTTAATGTCTTCTGGACTCTTACAGTTGAAACTAGTTTTTCTGCTCATGCTTGATCAGTTTTACATGGAGGAAATAAGTATTCATTAGAAACAGGGAATAAAAGCTCTTACTTGTGTCCAGATTCGTGTGCGATGGTGAAAGCCAGACCTAGGCCAGTGTCTTCATTGACAGTACAACTTCGATACTTGCTGCACATCCCGCTAATTGGTGCAAAACCTGCAAAACAATTACATTTTCAAATAATTGATTTCACCTCAGAGAATACCACTGTAAATGCAACAACTATACTGAGAGTCTGTGTCTTTGCTGAGCCACTGGTTAAGAGAATGTCAACTCTTTAATTCTAAAATCATAAGCAGAAAGCTTGCACTAATTTAATCTGTCTGCGTTTGCATTACTAAAAAAAAAGATCCAACGGAACATTACCTAGTAGAAATCCCTTCCATATGTTTAAACTGACATTCCCAAACCCTACCACTACTTTTTCATTTACTTTTCAAATTAACCGTTAACCCTGCTCAATTCTCATATCTCAAATTCTATATCAAAGTTCCTTTTACCACATATCCCTTTGAACGTTGTATCTGTGCTCTTTTAAAACACACACACACACACACACACACACACACACACACACACACACACACACACACACACACACACACACACACACACACACACACACACACACACACACACACACGCCAACGCTGGCTGTAAATCAAAAGAATAACACACATGTTGGCTCTCCCTTATTTTTGTTGTCTCAATGTCTTGTAGAGAATTTTGTCTTATGTTACATTCACCCCCCCCCACTCCCCTAAGTAATGTTCTTGTGTAAGTAACTAATGTGAGTAATAATAGTAAACATAACCAGGGAGACTGACTGTGAGTACTACCATTCACTTTATTTTCTGTGTCAAGGAGAAGGCAGGTCGTGTATTATGTAACAGTTTGAAATATGGGTGAAAACATGAAGGGATAGAGCTGTAATGGCAATGCAAATAAACTGTGTTATATAATGGCCTGTTGCAATAATAGCCGTGTTACCTTGAACCTTTAGGAGCAGGAATTAGTCAGCAGCAACTTTTTAATGAAGACAAATGGAGACATAAGCACACACACCTTCTAACTAGAGCTTAATAGTGATGATTTGAGCTAATGCTAGCCTTCACACTTTGAAGTCCATGGGGTGTTTCTCAATGTCAAGGAACTTTGCCTTGATGTCTGCGCCCTGCCCCAGTTGCCTAGGAGATACGTCATCAGGAGCAGCCAAGATGTGTTCCAATCGGTTCCAATGTTCATGTTCTACCGAGGCATGTGTTCTCCGTTTGTTAGCCGTTTAGCTAGCTGAGCAAGGATACACGGGAGGTGTCTTGTAGGCTAGCCTTGGTCAAAAATTACCCACAATACACCACGGTATTTTCAAAAATTTGACAAATCAGAAGCCGGCAGCTACTTTGGGGACAATTTTCAAGTTTAAAAGTAATTCAGCTAATTTAAAATGTTTTTTTTATGGATCCAAAGAAGTTATCTATTGTTGGTTAGTTGCTTAGTAGTTGCAGCTTCGGTGGCTAGCGGGTAGTAACTCGATTATATTTTTATTTAATAAACATATACACAATTTAAAAAGTAAAAGTTGTTATATTGAAACTAATGCATATAAAATATAATGTTATCTCCCGTGTCACGTGACGTTACGTGACCGCTGTGCAAGCCGCGGTCACGTGATGCAAGTCTGTTCCATTTAACCATTTTCTTTGACCAAGGAAGGACAGTGTCCTTGTAAGTGAGGCACATGGAAGACATCGCCTCGCAAGGCAAGGCACCTTGACATTGAGAAATACCCATAGTGTTTGAGAAGTGGGTCACTGTGAAAGAGTTTTTTCTTGTACAGCAAGAGAAATCTTTCTTTCCTCAGAGTGAAGACAATAACAGCAGGACCATCACTTTAGACCCCACTATGATGTCATAACCTCGTAACTTATTATGCCATGTTTAGATTTTTGCAAATGTGTTCCTTTAGTGCTACGGCAATAACAATGCTGCTACACTCCACAGTCTTAAGAGGCTCTCCTGCTCTAAACCCTAAATCTGTACCTCAGTAAAACATTTCAATAAAGATCTTACAGTGATCAAGATGTTACCATGAATCGGTCCTCATATTGGCACAACTCTCGTATGCTCAATCAGAACGCAGTAATACGCTACAAGATCAAAGGATCAGTGTGACCAGTTCATTTTTTTTCAGCCAAGTCACGACCCTGGTGTGTACAGGCCCCACATCCATCACATTCCACATATAGGTTCGTGACATGCTACAGCTGTGAAGATAAACCTCATGATCTTGCAATGCAAATTTTGGACAATCTGAACTCCTCAGTGGTGTTGCAATCAGTCACATTTAGGCGCCCTTAAAGGTGTGGTTCAATGAAAACATTTTTTAATAACTATTTTTAATTATAATGGGTCACTCTGAGTTTTTCATGCAGGGCAGGCTGAACATAAAACTAGTTTTCTACACTTATATCCTGCATTAGATTATGATATAAAACAGACGTTGAAACGAAACATTCGACACACTGGCACTTAACATCAGGAAATATGACTCAAATCCTGCCATCATCTGATGTCACAGACTTGTCTTTGCTGAGCCAGGCGTTTGAGGGCTTTTTGTGCCCTGAATACAGCCTGCAAAGCATTCATTCCAACTAGAGACCACTGCAAATGTACTAATTTAACGAGTGAACACAACTTGAAAACACATCAGAATCCTTAACCAAGACCATGCAAAGGCAATCCATGTACAGGCATCGTCCAGTGTTAAGAGGGGCTTTAGCCCATGTTCTCTCGAACTGTACGTTTACATGATTTTAATACAGTATAAAACTACAAATAAGCCTTAGATCTGTTCCTCTGCTTCTCTGGGTTTTGCATGTGATTTCACATTATTCCATATGTCTTTAGAGAAACATTGGGGAACAGTGCAGAAAAAGAAACCTGCAGATGGTTTAACATCTGTTGTGGTTGGTGTCATTTGAGGTGAAACCATAAGAAAAGAGTCTTTCCCAGACAGTGTCAGATCAGATTAAACAACCAGCTCTACAGTTCACCATGCTATATATGTTGACAATTTTCAATCCATGTACATTTTGTTTTACTATGATATTAGGAAAAAATAATCCACCATGACAGAGAATCTCAGCTGCTCCTTTCCTGGCTGTCAGTCTTCTCAACACAGGCAACACAGATGTTTCCAATTGAAAAACTGTTTTTCAAAGCATTTGTTAAATAGAAAAAGGGTTTTCTGTTGGGTATTATTAAAAAGCCATTGCAACCAACAATAAAAGCAACTTATAATACGGCCAATGGATGCACTTTTTAACTGCATTTTAGACATCAAATCCTGATGGCAGGAAACTTTCTCCAGCTCAACCAGGACAAAACTAAAGTTTAAGTTATCGGTCCTGAGGCCCAGAGAGGGAATTTTTTTTTTTACCAAAATTACAATCACTGTCTTTTAATCCATCTTCATAAGTGAAGAACCTGGGTGTCATCTTTGACTCTGAGCTGACTTTGATCTTATTAAAAATATCACCAAAATAGGTTTTTATCATCTAAAGAACATCGCCAGAGTCTGCCCCATTCTTTCTCGGGCCAATACGGAGACGCTGATGCATGCTTTTATCACCAATCGGATAGACTACTGTAATGCCCTGCTTCCTGGTCTTCCTAAAAAGAGGATTTCAGGTCTACAACTATTACAAAACTCAGCAGCACATGTCCTGACGAAGACCAGGAGGCGGGAGCACATCACTCCAGTTTTGGAATCAGAGCATTGGCTCCCCGTACGTTTCAGGATCGATTTTAAAATACTTTTAATGGTTTTTAAGTGTCTTAATGGTCTTGGGCCTTTTTATAAAGGCATAAAAACCCATGCAGTCTCTGCGCTCCTCTGGCAGCCGTCTCCTAGTCATCCCTAATGTCAGGACTCATATTCACGGCGAGGCGTCCTTCCAGTACCATGGTCCTCGCCTCTGGAACAAGCTGCCAGGGGACCACAGGGCAGCAGAGAACGTTCATGTTTTTAAAAACAGGCTCAAGACCCATCTTTTTAGCTTAGCTTTTAACTGATTACTATCACTTTTTAAATTAATTAATTAATTAATTAATTGGTTATTTATTTATTTATTTATCTATTTATTTATTTAGTTATTTATTTGATGTATTTTTTTAAACAGAGTTTATATATATACATATATATTTATATATGTATATATATATATTTGTAAACCATAGATTTATGATCAACATTATTTTTAGGTCTATATAACTTTTTATATTACAATTTAGCTCTAATCATTTGATATTTTAACCTTAATTTAACCTTTTTCCAGTGTTTCCTCTGTGGGAGCCCTCTGCCCCGGGGGGCGGTGGTCGGCTGTGGCGGCCTGGGTGCTTTCCAGGTGTGCCTAGGTGGAGGTGGGGGTCTCCGCCCTCCCTGCCCTGAGCGCCCTGCGTCGGTGCCTCGGCTGCTGCTGTGGATCTGCTGCTGTCTGGGCGGATGGATCCCCTGATGGCGTTTCCTTAGCTGGTCTGGCTCATCTAAACTCAGTCCATTGTGCTTTTTTCATGGGGGCGCATGTGTGTGTGTGTGTGTGTGTGTGTGTGTGTGTGTGTGTGTGTGTGTGTGTGTGTGTGTGTGTGTGTGTGTGTGTGTGTGTGTGTGTGTGTGTGTGTGTGTGTGCCGGAGGATGAGTGTTGTGAAGGGGTTTTATTCTCGGACTGTTTTTAAATTCTGGGGATGGGAGGGAATGTGGGTATGTGGGGCCTTTTTAATTTGTTAAGCACTTTGAGTTACATGCATTGTATGATTAAGTGCTATATAAATAAAGTTTGATTTGATTTGATTTGTGATACAAAGAAGCATTTCTATGTCCAACCCCTATTTTACAATCCTTTCACTTCTTGCTACCTTAACGGCTTGCACTGGGTCAACAAACCTATTGAGATATTTTATTGGATTTAGGAATTCTGGGTAATTGGTGCTAGCGAATCTGCTCCACAGATTTGTGTATTCCATCCATGAAAAAGTTAATAAAGTTATACCAAGAGTATCACAGGGTTCATTCTTCCAAGAGCAGATGTCGAGGCCCGTGAGGAAGATGGCATGGTCATGGTGGCGACCCTCTCTGCTCCCAAGAGTTGACTGCCAGTGGCAAAAGCTGTTCAGTGTGTGATCAGCATGGTGGCTAATCATCAAACCATCCTATGAATTCAGAAAGAGGTAGAAAGTATTGTGTTACACTATTTTTTCATATTACTTCCACAAATTCTAAATGTAACCATGTTAGGATTACTGAAGTCATTTCTTGTAAAACAAAAGCGGGTGATGCCGTTGATTGATCAGTTTCACCTGCATGAGTTGGTACTGTTCATTGATCTGCATACATTTTGAAAGTTTTTTTAATAAATATTTTATATATCCATCCATCTATTCTCTTCCCCTTATCCGGAGTCGGGTTGCGGGGGCAACAACCTAAGTCAAGAAGCCCAGATTTCCCTCTCCCCAGCCACTTAGGCCAGCTCTTCTGTGGAAACCCCAAGGCACTCCCTGGCCAGCCGAGACACAGTCCTTCCAATGTGTCTTGGGTCTTCCTTTAGACCTCCTCCCGGTTGAGCGTGCCCGGAAAACCTCACCAGGGAGGCTTCCAGGAGGCATCCTAATCAGATGCCCGAGTCACTTCAACTGGCTCCTCTCAATGAGGAGGAGCAGTGGGTCAAGTCCGAGCCCCTTTTGGAAGACCAAGCTTCTCACCCTATCTCTAAGGAAGAGCCCAGCTACCCTGCGGAGAAAACTCATTTCAGCCACTTGTATCCGCAATCTCATTCTGTCGGTCACTATCCAAAGCCCATGACCATAGGTCAGGGTGGGAGTGTAGATCGACCGGTAAATCGGGAGCTTTGCATTCTGGCTCAGTGCCCTCTTCACCATGAAAGATCAGTAATATGCCCATCACTGCAGATGCAGCACCAATCCGCCTATCGATCTCACGCTCCAGCTTTCCCTCACTCATGAACAAGACCCTGAGATGCTTAAACTCCTCTACTTGGGGCAGGACCTCATCCCTGACTTGGAGAAGGCATTCTACCCTTTTCTGACATAAGTTCATGGTCTCAGATTTAGAGGAGCTGATTCTCATCTCAGTTGCTTCACACTTGGCTGCAAACCGCTCCAGCGAAAGCTGGAGATAACGTTCTGATGAAGTCAACAGAACCACATCATCTGCAAAAAGCAGAAACCCGATCTACAGGCCACTAAAACGAATACCCTCAACACCTTGGCTGTTCCTACAAATCCTGTCCATAAAAGTTATGAACAGAATCTGTGACAAAGGGCAGCTTTGGCGTAGTCCAACTCTCACTGGGAAAGAGCCTGACTTACTGCCGGCAATGCGGACCAAGCTCTGACACCAGTCATAGAAGGACCTAACAGCGCCCATATAAGAGGATCTGGTACCCCTTACTCCCAGAGTACCCTCCACAAGACCCCCCCCCAGAGACACGGTCGAACATCTCCAAATCCGCAAAACACATGTAGATTGGTTGGGTGAACCCCCACGCACCCTCCAGGACCCCGCTAAGGGTATAAAGCTGATATACATATCTTATATACATGTATAAATTACTCCCAGATTCCTAGGTGGAAACACATAAAAAAAAGAAGCATTATTGTGAGAAGGAAACAGAGCATAAAAATGCCAGAGACTGTAGATCAAAAATCAAAGTAAATTTTTAGGGCAATCCACATGGTTTACAAATATAAACACTAACATAGTATTTGTATTTTAAAATACTATGCACTAAGTTTCAAAACAGATAGTAATAAAATAAACAAGTGTAGCCATTGAAAGGCATAAATTTTCAAATTCCACAAGTTGAAAAAAGAAAATTGTCATAGTTAAATTTAAGTTATAGAATTTAGTTGTGTATATAGGCTGCCTGTTTCTAACATTACTTAACATTTTTATTTACCATTTATATTCAGCTACGCACTTTGTTACTGAATGGGAATGCTTTTACTGTGGACATTACCCAGGCACTTTGACGCTCACCTGTTCCTCATCCAAAAGGACAAGACCTACTATTACGATGTTGATGTTCCCACCTATTGTGCCATCCTTGAACAAAGTGGAAACCTACAACAGAGAACATAACAACAAACACTAAGTGCCACAGATGCTACTTAATTGACATTCTTTCATTTATCAATTATTAGCAATACAGCAATGCTTGATATTAGCAGAGTTTCACAAGAGTGCTGAGAAAAAAAAAACATTTGATTCGTTATTGGCTTGTTTTTAGTTGTTTGGTCACATTTATATGATTCTAATCAGCAAATGCCAAAAGTAGACAAATATAGCACAGGTACATAAAAAGCCATTTTCAACCAACATTTTTATTTAATAAGTTATTTAAAACAGTAACCAAGCCAACCAAGCCCTATAAAGTCATGAGGTCATGATCCAATATACAGGGAAGAGGTGGGGCATAATCACTGCAGAGGTACAATTTTATAAGTTGACCAAAACTAACACAGAATACCGATACATCTGCCAGAAAACATCTCAATGATCTCTGAAAGAATTTTGGGAATACATACTCTAGACTAACAACAGTATAACTATCTTTAAGGTGTGTGTCTGTTCTGCCATATCTGATGTAACACATTTGGGGTGGGTTCACTCGACAGCACCTGGCGGGGAGTACCTGTTCAATCAGCCTCACCTTGGGTGCCAGTGCGGGGGGTTGGGGGATGATAGGGGTTGTATGCAGGCACCAGGTGGTTAAGGGCCAGACGATGCCTGCTGGGGTCTTCTCACACCTCTGTTCCTGGTTTGCTGCTCGGGGCTGGAGGCTAGGAGTGGGAGCTGGCTGTCTTGTTGGGGTCTGGGGTGGTGGGTCGCTTTTCTCTGCGTTGGGTGGGGATGTCTGCTCATCAGTTTCCCAGTAAGAACGGGACCAGCTCTGGTGTCTAGGAATAGTTGTGCCCTCTGTGCAGCAGTACTGGGACCACAGTGAGTAGGGTGTGTATGGGGAGTGTGAGTGGATGTATAATGCACATTCTTGTGTGTCTTTAGGTTAAATGTGCTTATGTGTGAGCATGAGGGTGGGAATATGTGACAGTGTTTGTGTGTGACTGTATCTGTCAGGTGGGGGTCTTGGACTACTTCCCTCTCCTGGGACAGCTTTTAGTGTTACGACATCTTCGCCTACCCACCCCCTAACACAATTCCTGCTGGTGGGTGGTGCCTCGGTCTGCCTGCATATTCGCAGCTCCCGTGTCTGGGGTTGGAAGTTTTTGGTGCCTGCTGGCTTGCCTGGTGGGGTCCGAATCCCTGGGCTCCGTTGGGTCTCCACCAGGTTTGGGTGCCCTTCGGTCCCGGGCTGCTGAGTTCCGAGCTCGGCCTGACCTGGAGAACAGCTGTGGGCCGGTCAGGAGGATTGCCAGTTTTGTCTCCTGGGCCTCTGGCATGGCTGCTGGTTGAAAACTGCTGCTGCTGGTTCCAGACGCACCTTGACAGTCTTATAGGAAATAACTCACAAGCTCTTTTTTCTCAGTCCTGACAACCACAACTGCTGTTTCCAATTCAGCTTCTTGTTCGGACATCTAATAAGTCATAACAGTTTATGCTTTGATCTCATAATCCTTTGTTCATGTTTGCGATCACCCTTTCTCTCAGGCCTTGTGAATACATCAGGTGCCACTCAAAGCATAGAACAGATTTATTTCCTTATATTTTCATTTATTCCTTATGTTTGGTCTTCCTTTGCACTGACACACGAGAAGACACAGAGATGCTGAAAAAAAGTTCTGAGGTCAAAGAGGGAATCAAAGCTGTGCGCTTCAATTTAAATGCACGCTATTCGACAGAGTGTCAGATTTGCACATCCTGATCAGATCAAAAGGGTTTTAGTGAATCACCATGTTTTTTTCTGACACATGGGTTTCCATGGAGGCGTGATGTTTTGATGTACACAGTTCTTTAGTATATTAACTGATAATTGCAAAATTGATTTTTGGCAAATTCACACATCTAGGGGAAAACATGTATCAATGCCAGCTTGTTTTATTTTATTACAAATACCCGTTTAACTCTTTCAATAGCTGGCAGGTGGGTATTAGGGGTCTGTGTATTCTGTGAAACCTTTAGATGACTCCTCTGTCTGAGGAGAGCTGAGATGATTCCGACTGGATTTTTGACAAAAAGGAACTCTGCTTCCAAAATAGACGGATTATCTTTGGATTTGTCAGTCAGTCATTAGTAAAACAGGTGCGACAGAATTTGCTCACAGGTCTTCCTGTGAGAACTAGTGAAAGTGTTTCACCCATGATCTCACTCACATATCAGATTCATGTTTTTAGATGGGCTCTTTCTGATAGCAGCCTAGGTCTTTTAGATAAAGTCTGGTTACTAAAGCCTGTGATGCACCTTAAACTGCAGCATATGCAACATTTTGTTTACTAACGCAAAAAAAAAACATCTAGCAATATTAGATGTCAATAGTGCTAAGCCTAGATTGTATGTGCAGCAACACAAACAATTATGTTAATTTTATGATTTTATCCTTGACACTACTGCTAACAGAGTTTTTGTGTGAAACCTGATATTAGCTTGGCAAGCTATCCTATATATGTAAATATATTGTCTGGCCGTGATCCGTAGACAGAGCTCAGTCATAGGGGAGGGACCTATGGCTGTTTTTCAAACTATCTCTGCACCCAGTTGGACAGGACTAAGACCAATCAAAGCAATGAGAAATGAGATATATTCATAGCCTGGAAATCAACGGGGGTTGTTTGCCACACATTGTCGAAGAAGCAGAAGTAAAAGAGGTACCTCTATCTGCTGCTCATGTCTCAAAAAAAAAAAGCCCAAATCTAAATCATCCAAAGTTTACGTTGCCATTCCTGAGCCACCATCATTGTTGTTGGTTTGCTCCATTGCAGAGAAAAAGAAAAAGAAAAAAAACTGCCATAACCATGCTAAGCCCACCCTACACCTGTACAAACAGAGCGCTATGATTGGCCCAACCTAAGGTCAGCTGAGCAAATAAAGCGTGGCTAGACCCCCATGCATAGCTAAATCTGTTATGGCTAGATTTCTAAGCTAACCTGATGAACGTATTATTCATTAGCTGCAACCCTCCCAATGTTGCCATCTCCTTAGTAAGAAAACAATTTGCATTATTGGTCATCTGTATATGATTGTTAGAAGCAGCGTAGAAGAGAGGAATAATGTTGATGGAGAGACAAAAAGGGGGGTAAAAAACATCCTAAATACATTTCAATCTAAAATAGATTTCTTTCCTGATTATTCTTGGCTGTTGACATTTTTTGGTTACATAGATTTTGTTTTTGTTATGATGCAGCATTCTGAACATTCCGTAAATGAATGAGGGAGGATGCGTTGACACCTATGAGGACCGTTTTAGCATAATCAAGTTTTGACTCAATAAGTCAAGAGAAACAATGTTTTTGTTTTTAACTATTTGATGTTAAGGCGTCTGTGACAGCCAGATCCAGACAGTTAAGGTCTAGCACATCTTAATAACATGCCAAATGATTTCAGTCGCCACATGACCCAACAGGTAATGTGTTTGTATCTCTCACCATGTTAAGGACAGTTAGAACATATGTGGTGATGTTCTCATGGCCATGATTGTCCATCATCTTTCTGTCCACAACCACAAGTGTCTCCACGATGAGCTTCTGGTTGGGCTGGTTCTTTATCAGAACCGCTCGTTTGTTCCTGGGGATGAGCTTGTACTCATCTGGAAGTATAAATACATCCTCCTCAGGAGGTTTGGGCATATCTGTGAAAACAGTTCAAGGCAGATGAGAGTAGGTAAAATAAATAAAAAGGAAATTTTCATTTCATTTATTTTTTTATTTCTAACAGACATATCCATCAGAATTTAGAGTCACAATTCACAACTGTGTCGCTTTGGATAAAAGCTTCTGCCAAATAAATAAACATCAAGGTAGCCCGTGGCATTTAAACCATGCCCAACAGCAAGTTCCTAGTTTGTGAATTGTTTGTTCACTGACAATGGCAATAAACCTTTTCTGATTCTGATTCTGATCAACCAAAATAGCTGCTCTTACTCAGATGATTAAGATCAGGGTATATAACTAGAATAATCTGGATAGGCACCCAGGAGGACCACGGTTGAGTGTCCTTGGTCTAGAAGAGAGCCAAAAAGCCTCGCAGTTACTCAGCTTTGTTGTTCAAGCTTTGAAGCCATAAAATCTTCTGCTTGAGGAAATGAGGGTGATTTGTTCATGGGCTGGAAGGGTGGGGTCCGCCATTAATTTAATTTCTCTGTTTCTGTCAAGGATTAATTGATTTTTCGTCCAATGGAAGATGTGAAATAATCAGAATATAAGCTCATGCATTTTATTTATAAATGTGTTTTAAGAGAACAATTTCAGAAAATGTTGTTGGTACATCATGTAACCTTTTTTTCCTCAAACGAGAGTATAAAATAAAGCTTTTTTCAGAAGCATCAGCTCTTATTTTGAAGTAAACATGACACATACAAACTATACACTCACCTAAAGAATTATTAGGAACACCATACCAATACGGTGTTTGACCCCCTTTCGCCTTCAGAACTGCCTTAATTCTATGTGGTGTTGATTAAACGAGGTGCTGAAAGCATTCTTTATGAATGTTGGTCCATACTGACAGGATAGCATCTTGCAGCTGATGGAGATGTGTGGGATGCACATCCAGGGCACGAAGCTCCCGTTCCACCACATCCCAAAGATGCTCTATCGGGTTGAGATCTGGTGACTGTGGGGGCCGTTGTAGTACAGTGAACTCATTGTCATGTTCAAGAGACCAATTTGAAATGATTGGAGCTTTATGACATGGTGCCTTATCCTGCTGGAAGTAGCCATCAGAGGATGGGTGCATGGTGGTGATGAAGGGATGGACATGGTCAGAAACAATGCTCAGGAAGCCCGTGAAATTTAAACGATGCCCATTTGGCACTAAGGGGCCTGAAGTGTGCCAAGAAAACATCCCCCAAACCATTACACTACCACCACCAGCAGCCTGCACAGTGGTAACAAGGAATGATGGATTCATGTTCTCATTCTGTTTACGCCAAATTCAGACTCTACCATCTGAATGTCTCAACAGAAATCGAGACTCATCAGACCAGGCAAGTAAGTAAGTAAGTAAACTTTATTTGTATAGCACCTTTTCCAGTCTTCAACTGTCATTTTGGTGAGCTCATGCAAATTGTAGCCTCTTTTTCCTATTTGTAGTGGAGATGAGTGGTACCCGGTGGGGTCTTCTGCTGTTGTAGCCCATCCACCTCAAGGTTGTGCGTGTTGTGGCTGCACAAATGCTTTGCTGCATTCCTCGGTTGTAACGAGTGGTTATTTCAGTCAAAGTTGCTCTTCTATCAGCTTGAATCAGTCGGCCCATTCTCTTCTGACCTCTAGCATCAACAAGGCATTTTTGCCTATGGAATGCCGCATACTGGATGTTTTTCCCTTTTCACACCATTCTTTGTAAACCCTAGAAATGGTTGTGGGTGAAAATCCCAGTAACTGAGCAGATTGTGAAATACTCAGACTCGTCTGGCACCAACAACCATGCCACGCTCAAAATAGCTCCAATCACCTTTCTTTCCCATTCTGACCTTCAGTTTGGAGTTCAGGAGATCATCTTGATCAGAACCACACCCCTAAATGCATTGAAGCAACTGCCATGTGATTGGTTGATTAGATAATTGCATTAAGGAAAAGTTGAGCAGGTGTTCATAATAATCCTTTAGGTGAGTGTACATATAAAGGCCTAGTTCTTGTGTCCAACTCTCTTTTGTCTCAGTCAGGCTTTTCAGCCTGACTGAGACAAAAGTACAAAGTGATGAAAGGTCGCTTATGCAGGCAAAAAACAGGAGAGCAACCTAAGTGTGTTCAGTGATGTCAGCTTGTGGAAATGTAAACAGTATGTAATCACAAGGGGGTGGGCAGGTTCTGCCGGGTAAGGGTGGTACCATTCCTGACCCTAGATCTGCTTAGACACAGGGAATGTAAAAAAAAATTAGAAGCAACAGTCTGCAACCCACAGACTAACAACTGAAGTAAAAAAAGAAGTCAAAACTGTTAAACCCAAAGAAAAATGTTATTCTAAAGAAAACTTAAATCTTTGGGTTGAATCTGGTAAGAAGGTCCACTCAAAAATTCACACATTTTAAGGAGCAAGTCACCCTCCTACTAAAGGAGACAGTGCCCAGCCAACATCTCCCCTACTGTTCGTTTCAATGAAATGCACAAAAATGATGACTACACACATTTGCAGGACTATTAAACACGTTTGTACAGTTAATCAGCAAAACAAGGTCATTTGGGTGGTGACTTGCTCTTTAAAATCTCTCAGCATCTTATAAAATATGTATCTTGGAACAGCTTCTCTACAGACCAACTTAAAAGGTGCTGTTTGTCTCCGTAACAGAAAAAGGTGATAACGACATGTTAACAGCAACACGTTACCACTCATTCTGCAACCTCTAATGCTGTCTGCAGGAGTGTTTTTGAATGTTTTCTCCAATCCCATAAAGTTATTTGAACTCACCAATAAATTTTAATGGGAACATATTTTATTAGAGGTGTGCAACAATTTTCCCTTTGCACCAAGCAAATGCAACCCCATATGGCTGACTTCTAACTCATTAAATACAAACAAAAAAATGTTAATTCATGTGTATATTTTTCCTTTTGTGTTACATTGTAAGTTATGTGACAATGATAGATGAGGCTTTATTTAAATAAACAAACTGTAAAATATCACAAGCTATTTGAGACGTACGCCTTGGAGGGAAAACGTGTAATGTCCTCGTTTGGAGGAAAAATGAAGTTGTGTTCATTAACTAATTCTGCTAAAGTAAATGTTACTAAAATGTAAACGTGTCTTTGGTGGAAAGGTAACATGCAGGTACATTAATGCCCTCTGTTTTTATGTTTGTTTAACCTGTGCATAGGAAAAGGTTGAAGAAACGTTGAATGCTTCCAAACATAATCAGGAATCTGAATGTGCTGGTGGGGATTAAAATGAGAAATTGCCCTTACATACATTTCTTCCTTCTCCCACAGAAATGTTGCTTTTGCTTCTCCCCGTGTATGTAACCACCACGATGATAGCTGTTTCCGTGATGCTTCAGTGGGTCGCCGTGAATCGTGCTGTTTTTGCTGTTGCGGGAATGAACACTTGGTTGGTTTTGCAGGGGCCTGTAGTTATCTTCATTATCTGCTCTGGAGGTGGAATCTGTCTTTGAGGGGAACCTTCTGCTTGAGTCTGTGGATCTCTTCTTAAGGGATCGGGGCTCACGATGTGTTTGCTTTGCCCAGGAGTTCCCGTCGCTCTTGTAGAGAATGTGTGGTTGGTGACTGTCAGGGCCAGTGAAATTCTCCATCTGGGCAAGGCTACGTGATACTGGTCTCAGGAAGTAGTCTGCATCCTGTGTTCGAATCAAACCTGACTAGAGGCAAAACAAAACATCCACTTAGTTATGTTGAATTTGCACGTAGGTTAATTTAAACTGAGCCAACCTACTGTAGCACTTCAATAATCAATCAATCAATCAATCAATCAATCAATCAATCAATCAATCAATCAATCAATCAACAGATCAAACTTTATATGTAAAGCATTTTCCACAACCTTAAGGGAAACCCAAGGTGCCTATATAGACTAAATTCAAACATTAGGTTTTTAAGTCATAACATCAGCAGAGATTTTAAATGTCCATGCTTTCTTGCACCAGCTGTCATAAAATATATTTTTGACTTTCTTAACATTAGGAGTTGGTGTGGTTTCTGTAGACCGACAGTAACCTAAAGGACTTGCACTTACATAATGCCTAAACCTACTCCAGCTATTTGAAGAGCTTCCTACCACTGTCAGCAATTACAAAGGACCTGACCTTTGGTCACTGCAATCCTGAACCCACTAAACATCTGTGCAGCTCAATTATGAGCAAGGTTTCATCACCCCTAACATCTGTTTTGCGGTTCAGGGACAGCTGGCAGTCGTTATCCACTAAATCCAAGCAGGATTTGGTCAAGCAGAAGGGTTCAAAGGGCCAAAGGACTATTCTTTTGTTTGTTTGTTTGTTTGTTTATTAAGATCCCCATTAGCTGCTATTCTTCCTGGGGTCTCATATCATACAGTCATTACAATTTATATGCATACACATATTGTGCACATCATTCGTACATGACCACACACACACACACACACACACACACACACACACACACACACACACACACACACACACACACACACACACACACACACACACACACACACACACACACACACACACACACACACACACACACACAACTAATTTCAACATAATATTGCAGTGTAGAAAAATCCCAATTCAATTCTCAAAAGCCCAAACATAACAAAATACATTCTTAAAATTTGAAATACAGCTCACTTCAGAAGATGTTTAGCTTGACATTATCTTTGGGAAAATAAAAATATTTGAAGTTTTTACTGAAAACATTTTTTATCAATTTCCCTCAACAGAAATCCTGGTAGTGCATTCCATAGCACCATTGCACGATAGACCACAGTTTTCTGCATTCGATTTGTTCTGCACATAGGCAACACACATCATCCATGCATACTTTGTCTTGTGGAACAATCATGTTCATCAGCAAAAAAAGACAAGGTGGAATAAATTACATTCGGAGTTTTTGTCGTAATGAAATTTCTAATAAATATTGTTAATGAAAACTCCAATCTCTCTCTTACTTTTAGCCAGGACAACTTATTGTGTAACAGATTGACACTGGTTCTGTACGGACTCCCCAAAACCATGCGCGCTGCCTTGTTTTGAACAATTTGTAACTTGTCTAGGCAATTTTCATTGGTGTTGGACCAAACCACAGAGGCATAATCTAAGTGTGAAAGCACCAATGACTGAACTAGTTTCTTAATTACGTGAAATGGAATTAATTTCCTACTACATCTGATAATAGCCATACTTCTTCCCATTTTTTCCAACAGGTAGTTAATCTGACTCACCCAGGATCATTTATTATCAACAATAACATCCAATAACTTAAAATCATCAACCTGTTCAATAATAGTACCATCTAAGGTCAAGCTTAAGAGTGGATTCGTTTTTAAAAAATGTCTAGATCCTATGACCATACATTTAGTCTTATTTGTGTTTATTATCAAATTGTTTGCTGTGATCCATCTATTAACAGATTCTAGTTCCTTATTTAGAACAGTATGAAGTTGTAATACTGTTTTTGCTGGTGCGTGTAATGTAATATTATCTGCATAAATTGCCATTGTGGCATTATCCAACACCATAGGTAAGTCATTCATAAAAATGGAAAACAACAAAGGTCCTAAACAACTACCTTGGGGCACTCCATAAATATTCTACTGGAATAAAACATATTCTTAATAATATACAAACATCCGGACTTCTTTGTTGATTTCACAAGGCCCAGTTAGTGTATCTGCAGTTTTGGAGTGTTTCCTTTTGCATTCCTTGGTGTGTTCTTACTGTGTTGAGTTTCTAATTCCATTTTTGGTGGCGTCACTTCCTATACTCTGTTTATCTGCGGGCAGCAGAGGACGTTGTCGCCCTCTGCTGCCTGATCTCCCCTCTCGCCAACTCAACACATGAACAATAGAACATAGAAAGGAGAGCGAGAAAGAAACAAGTCGAAACACACATGAGCAACAAAACAAGAAGCAGAAAGCACAATAAAGATGTCAGCCGTAACAGATCACTGCACAAGAGAAAACCATGTAATGGACTGGGACAACATAAACATCGAACTACAGAAATACAAAAGATGGATAAAAGAAGCTATAGAGGTAAGGAGACGTGTATGTGGGACCATGAACAGAGACGATGGGGTTTACACATTGGATCACACATGGGACTGCATCATCGGAGAGGGGAAATCGGGCAGTGTCCTCTGCTGCCCGCGGATAAACGGAGTAGGAAGTGACGACATCATCAGCGTCAGCTCAGAGGATGTTTTGCTGTCGGCAAACGAAACGTACGTCAGCAAGGTAAAGAAAAACCTTTCCTGTGTTTTAAAAAGAACCAAAAATGTAATTATTTCTTTTGCTTTTCTTCAATCTTTGTGGGAATACTTGCAGTCAGATGTACTGAAGTCCTGATAACTGATATTTTGTGCTCTAGAGGGCGATGTGAGCCAAAATGCAAATATTGGTCTGTGTGAGTTAGGGCTGGGCGATACGTCCTAAAATCAATATCACGATAAATTGAGGATTTCACCTCGATAACAATAAACAGACGATAACTACAGATATGTGCAGAAACAAAGGTTGTCCACTGGAAGGGGCTGTCACTTGTAATACACAGAGTCGCATTTTTACGTGACTCAAGGTTACAGCTTCTTAAAGGGACATAAACTTTGCCAACCTACAAACATCTTTTCATTTTTTAATGACAAATTTATTGACATGGGAAAATGTTCTCGATAACAGTCAGAAATTTCGATAACGATACATTTTCGATTTATTGCCCAGCCTTAGTGTGAGTTGGTTTCTTTTAGACTTCTATGCTGAGACTTCCATCCAATTCCCTGCTGTAATTCTACACATTTCACCATCAACTACAAACCCTTGGTCTTGCCAGTAGATTATTGAAGATTTCCAATCAACAAAGAAGTCTGGAAAATAATCCACAGCAGCAACTAGCAAAGAAAAGGACAACAGGTGCAAAGGCACCATCATTCCATATGTGGCAGGAGTTTCAGAGAAACTGAGAAGAATCTTCTCCAAACACAACATCCCGGTAAACTTTAAATCCAAAAACACCCTCAGACAGAAATGGATCCATTCAAAAGACAAAACTCCCAAACAGATGCTTAGGGGTGTCATTTATGCAGTCCAATGTAGTGAGGACTGTCCAGACATTTACACTGGGGAAACAAAACAACAACTACACAAGCACATGGCTCAACACAGGAGGGCCACCTCTTCAGGTCAAGACCAAGCCCCCACAATGCGGGTGAAAAACTGAAGCAAATGTGGAAATGAAATAAATTGCAGTTCCACCCTCATCCACTGGGGGCTGGTGTCAGAAGTGAGCAAATCCTATACACACACACACACACACACACACACACACACACACACACACACACACACACACACACACACACACACACACACACACACACACACACACACATATATATATATACACACACATGCATACATACATACATACATATAATGCTGCACTTTAGAAAATGGGTTGAAATATAACATGTTGGTGGAGCTGGGTTCCAACTATCGGCTTGTGGAGCTCTCGGGAGACCTCTGTTTCTCTGTTTTCCACCCGGTTCTCCCCTCCCCGCAGCTCAGCGCCTCTCTGTCTGATCGCGGCTTCTGTCTGCTGCGCGGGCTGCCAGCTTGTGGAGCTCTGGATGGAAACTGATGTTTTCCACCCGGTTCTCCCCTCCCCGCAGCTCGGCTCATCTCTGTCTGATCGCGGCTTCTGTCTGCTGCGCGGGCTGCTGGCTTGTGGAGCTCTGGATGGAAACTGATGTTTTCCACCCAGTTCTCCCTTCCCCGCAGCTCGGCGCATCTCTGTCTGATTGCGGCTTCTGTCTGCTGCGCGGGCTGCCAGCTTGTGGAGCTCTGGATGGAAACTGATGTTTTCCACCCGGTTCTCCCCTCCCCGCAGCTCGGCTCATCTCTGTCTGATCGCGGCTTCTGTCTGCTGCGCGGGCTGCTGGCTTGTGGAGCTCTGGATGGAAACTGATGTTTTCCACCCGGTTCTCCCTTCCCCGCAGCTCGGCGCATCTCTGTCTGATTGCGGCTTCTGTCTGCTGCGCGGGCTGCTGGCTTGTGGAGCTCTGGGATGGAAACCTTTCCACCCAGTTCTCCCCAGCGGCAGCTCTGCGCATCTCAGATCGCAGTGGCGCTTGTCTGCTGGCTTGTGGAGCTCTCGGGAGACCTCTGTGTTCCACCCGGTTTTACCCAGCGGTCAGCCCGGCGTATCTCTGACTCAGAAGCTCTGGTGCATGTGCACAGTTAACTCTGGTTGTAGCTAGGTTGCTACCTCCGTTAGCTTAGCTGCCACCTCCGCGTTAGCTTTGGGTTAGCTTCAGGTTAGCTTGTAGCTAGTTCGACCGGGTGTCGTCAGTTGATCCCAGCCTTACAGCCCCTACCTCAGCTCCACCTCTCTTCCCTTTTGTGGAATTATCTGGGCTTGATGGAACCTGTGACATGGTCAAAATGGCGGTGGTGGCCACCTCCCATTTTTCTTCAAAAACGTGTCATTGGAGTCTATGGAAACCCATTGTCCAATATTTATATGTCAATGGTCAAGACTCTACAGTCCACCCACAACGGAAGGACAAGGGACGCACTTTTGAAGGTGACAAAGTACACATTCTGGACAGAGAAGATAGACGGTTTGAGAGAGGAGTAAAAGAAGCTATCTATGTCAAATGGAAA